TTGGGTTTTTTTGGTCTTTGTGTCTTTATGCCTTTGTGCCCTTGTGTCTTTGTGTCCTTGTGTCCGTGTGTTTTTGTTCTTGTGTCCTTGTGTCCTTCTGCCTTTGTGTCTTTGTGTCTTTGTTTCTTTGTGTCTTGGTGTCTTTGTGTCTTATGTGTCTGTATTTCTCTGCGTGCGTGTGTGCGTGTGTATGCCCCTTTCATTACCCTGAAAAACCAAATTAGGCGCAGAGGACCACATTTAACTATATTTTCCATGTCCGCCTTTGATGCAAGTTTATCGCAGTGAAGTACGCTGCAATGTTTGTGTTGGTCGTTGGTGTGATTTGGGTAGCTGCGTTTCATTTGTGCACGGCAAGTTCACTGGATGATCTTAGGCTGCGAGTGCTGTTTGAAGCCGTGTGCGTGTGAAGCTTGTTACCCGGGGTTTTCAGGGGTTGCAGGAATCTCCAAATCAGGTTCAGAGGACCACACTTAGGAACGATTTTTCCATACCAGCCTTTGATGCAAGTGTATCGCAGTGATGTATGCTGCGATGGTTGTTATTGTTTTGCTTTGTCGGGTTGCTTGGTAGTTTAGTTTTGTTTTTACGTGGCAGATTCGTTCGTCATGGTCATTGACCGATCTCGGACTGTTTGTGTTGTTAGGCGCTATGCGCATAAATCTGGATTACTCAGATGCCCCGCAAATCTCCAAATTGGGTGCAGAGGACTCACACTTAGAAACAGTGTTTTCCATGCTCGTTGTCGCAGTGACGTACGTTGCGAGGTTCGTGAAATTTTCCCGGTTGAACGTTTTCCCCCCTCCCCTTGATACAGAACATGATACAATGTGCCCCCAGAAAACCTTAAGGTCTGATGTTTGCGCCTTTTCTCCCCGAAGATTTCCGGGACCCGCGGAAAACCCGGGTAACAAGCTTCATGCACATGGCGCCAAACAGCATCCACAGCCTAAGTTCGGGCAACGACCTCAATGAATAAAGCTGCCGCGTACGAATGACGCAACTACCCGAATCAAAGATACAACCAACACAAAACACCACAGCGTACGTCGCTGCGATAAACTTGTGTCTAAGACGGGCTATAGCACCAATATCAAACCGACATAAAAACACCAACATCACAGCATCAAACGCGGGACTGGCCTGGCCCTGGAAAGAATAGTTTCTAAGTGTGGGTTCTTTGCACCAAATTTGAATATTTGTTTGCGACCCGGCAAGAAGCACTCAATATTTGTCAGGCTTATCAAAACTCTGAAAAACAGGTTTTGAGTGTGGAGTTGGGAAGTGTTTCTAAGTGTAGGGAAACAATTTCTGAGTGCGGAGTTTCGGCCAAAACAGTACTGTTCCTACACTTAGATGTTTTTCCACACTTAGAAACGGTTCCAGGTGAATTGGGACCGCTTTTGGTTTCCAAAATTGTTTCTAAGTGTGAGTTCGTCACAATATTATTTTGACGTTACTACCTGCATAGCGCTGAAAGTCTCATCAAAATTCGAACAAATACTATGTTCAGTTAGCTGCTGCTGACTTATCTTTGCTAAAAATCGGCTATTATGTTATTTTATGTTAAGTTCCTAAAGCTCAACTAACACAGCTAATAAAAATAGCTAACATGATTATTAAGTAGTCATATCTCCGATTATAGAGCTGCTAGCACGTGTAGCTGCTCGTATGTCAGCTAACTTTTTGCCGTAGCAAGCGGTTCCTAACAGCAGCTAACCACCAAGGATGACAAACACAGCTAACTTTGACTTGTATCTGCCTATGAGTAGCGACTAGTTAAAACAGCGCCTCAGTACCAATGTTGGGGCAGTGGATTTCTAGATGAATCTCCTTTCGGGGAAGGACACTTCTTTGGGGAGCAATCTGAGTTTGAAGGGAAGTAGGCCCACGGAACAGAGTTCCAAAAGGACCCCTTCCAAAATTTCATTGCTCACTTTTGAGGTTGCCAAGGCATGACTTGTGCTCGAGCATTTGAGCCTGTTTGGACACATGTGGGTGGGTTCTTTCAGGGCTCTCATTGGGCTTTGGCATGGAAACTCCATGCACGCTCTGGACATAGGGCTCCTGAACTTTGCCCTGCCCATGTCTCCCGACTTCCGATCTCTCCGAGGCGCAAGCGCGCTTGCGAAGTTACCCAAGCAGGCCGGCCCTATGTTTCAAAAGGCCTGTCAGACAAAGAGTGTGTTCTTGTGATCCACAACCAACTTCATGCCATAGTAGCAAGCTTGTGGACGGGGACTGGACAGAGAGCGTGGGCAAGGTCAAGGAAAACAGTTGCGTGCTCCTGGCTTTGCTACGTGCCAAAGTAAAACGTCTTAGTCTACCTTTTTGTTTTGCCCATATACGGCGTAGTACTCTCAGCATGAAGGCAATATATTTTTGTTGCAGATTCCCAGGGGCACACACTGGAATAGTTGAACAGTAACCATTGGTTGATTTTGATAGGGATCCGGATCTCATCCAGGGGAGCCGTGCCAATTGAAATCCGACTGGTTGCTTAATGCTTACTTCGGGTTGATCCAGCGAACCTACCAGTCCGCGGAATTGGGTCAATTCTCACTAAAAGGCGAGCCGCTGATTAGCTCGGTCTGATGACACTAATCTTCAGGAAGAAGCGCAGTAATGTAGGTGCCTAAATATTTCGAACGGGATTGCGGGGGGGGGGGCTGGAATACCAAGGTAGTAATGACCAAAAAAGCCATAAGAGTCTAATGTGCAGATTCCAGATTTGGTCGCAGCCCATCCTACGAATGATACAGCGAAGCATCAAAGGTTCGGCAAGCAAAGCTCAGGTCCGCGCAGCGCCAGAGCTTTGCGACCGCCACCTGCAGTGGCACCTTGGATTAATCCTTCGCGGGCCCCGGCCCCCACCAATGACAAAACCTTCTTGACGAAGACAAGTGATTTTGACGGTAGCTTGGACCTGTTGTTTGCACGAATTGTTTGCGTGGAACTAGCAAGTTTGTTTACGCCCTCAAAGGGTGAAAACCACAGGTGCGGCTGTGAGCACTGGAAAGTGGTGCACAAGATCGTGTTTGTGCGGCTGCCCAGAGGCCCAACCGGTCGGAGCTCCCTTGGCTTCGGGTTCATCAACATTGGGAAGTGGGAACACCCCTACTTTGTACTCTATACTCTATGAACCTATACATGTCACAATTGCCTGCGAATGCATATAGGGGACTCCTCAAATGTAGTTGGTGCACATAAACCCCCACCTAAAAGAGACCAAGGAATCCCCAGCCAACAATCATCCCCATAGAGCTTTGGCCAGACAATCGTGTTATTTTCCACAAAAAAGGTCCCAGCCTACCCATTTGTTCAACCAGTGGTAAACCCTGGTTGCCTGCTCTTCCACCAGCAAGCATGGCTTGCTGCACAAGTGCTTTCGTTAGAAGCCTGCCTTTTGGAAAACAATGTTCTGTAAAAGTGACATATGGCATGACCAACACGCCCTTTGATGAGCCCTAATAGGGAAGATGAAGTAGACAATGAAAAGGATTCCTTTGCCAGGGAGCCCTGCCCCAGATTGCACGAGGTCTCGTCTGTGTTTGGACAAGCATGGACTGGCCGCCTTGTGGCCATCTTGGGCTCTAGTTTTTCCCTTTGGTCTGTTACACTGCGTGTAACTTTGGAAGCGATGGGTCAGTCGTTGGACTGAACTGCTCTATGTCTTACTGAGTATTTGCAATGGTGCTGAATTCAGCTCAACCGGTCGGCTCTGATGAGGACACCAGTCTCATGCCGCCTTGGCGAAAGCGGAAGTTGCTCCAACAATCTTCGCACGTGGCCTCGGAAGCTGGTTCAGTCATGAACGATGACATAGCGGACAGCAGTTGGGGTCCGACCCAATCTTTCCAACCCCCTACACCCAAGTTTGGGGGACGTGTCGATCATATGTTTCATTTGCCTAGAGGACGGGCGCGTGAACGCGACTTGCCAGTCTTCAAACAGGCTCAGCACGCAGGCCTTCCTCCGCCAGCTTTGCGTCCCAAAGGGAAGCTTTGTATTACGGTGTGTCGTCCTCTTCCTCCTCCGACAGATTTGCCCAGGCATAATAAGACTGTTGCCGCTCAGCAGGCGCCACATGGTCCGGAGGCGATTTGGCAACCAACTCAGCCGCCGTCTGTCGCACCGTCCTTGCGGTTTTTGACAAATGGCCATTTTGCAACTGCAATCAACAGGAAAACCTTGGAGCATCGTTTGCACGACATGCAGATTGCGCGTTGGCTCCAATTGCTCACTTCATGTGGCAGCCACAGTACATTGTTTTGCGTCACTGAAAACAGCGAGTTTTGTGATAAGCATCGCTCAACAGCCATACGCAAGTTTGCAGGAAGCACACTACAGCGTTACCTGGACTGTTGGGATGTGTGGTCGAAATTTGCCCACGCGCATCATTCTCATCCATGTGCTCCGGATCAATGGCTTGTGTGGACTTCTTGCGGTTGCATTGCTCTAAGCATGGCTCAACTGGGTGGTTCAAAGCACCTTGTTGGGTATCTACCAACGCTGGTCTTGCATCGATGATGGAGATTCTCTCTTCGCAGTTTGTCAAGGCATACAATCACCCACAAGATCCTCAGCCCAGGAAGGAGGCAGCGCCTCTACCTCTTTCATTCGTAGTGTGGATGGAGCGCATGGTCCTGGACACCAACAAGGATGTTAAATTGCGGTTTCTTTGTGGGTCTTTTCTAGTATGTGTTTGGAGCTCTCTTCGATTCAGTGATCTTCAATGGTGTGAGCCAAGCAATATACATGCTGACCCTGGCCTTATTCGTGGCATGGCCGTCAGGACCAAAACTACCAAGAGGGGGATGTCTTTTGCATTTATTTCCTCAGATTTTTTGGGCCACACTGTGAGTGTATCCTGGGCTATGTTATGGCATGGTCTTCTTATGGATGCTTTGCGATCCACGCTGCTGGCAAATCCTCACGCAGATCCGGATTTCATTTTGCCGCAAATGCATGATGACTCAACAGTTCAGTTACTTTCGCCCATGTCCAGATCTCAGGCGTTGATAGCACTGCGTTCACTGCTTGCAAAGCACTATGAGGAAGCAGGTGTGCCATTGCATTCGGTCCTGTTTTCCGACTTGGGAGTGCATTCAATGAAAGTAACACTTCTTGCATGGAGTTGTCAGCTTCACCTGAATTCAGAATGGCGGAGACTGCAGGGTCATCACCGCCAACGCGGAGCATCAGCTTCAGTGGCTCTGTATTCTCGGGATGACACTTGTGCATTGCAAACTCAACTGGTTGACAAAATCATCGCGGGCTTTCGCCCGCTTAAACCTGTCTCCAGAGGTGCAGCGTGTCCCTTGCCGGATATTCCGGTGCACCTTCCTGCAGCGCCAGTTGCGCCTGTGCCTGCCCACGCGCCTGTCCCTTCGCAGCCGTCGGAGCCGCAGCAGGAGATAACATCCCCCTCTTCATCCTCTTCATCCACTGAGGACAGCGTCTCGGGAGCCTCATCGCGCGACGAAGATGTTGGCACGGACCAGATGCTCAAGGAGTGTGCTTTGGTTTGGAACGCACGCAGCCGTGTTGTGCACAGGGCCAAGTATGTGCAGACTTCGGTTGCAGGTTGTCTTGCCATTCCGGATGAGTCTGGTCAACAGCATGTTGTTGTCTTGGCTTGTGGAGCCCAAGCCAAGCGCTCTCCTGCGTTGAAGGTGGTTCTCCAACCCCCTCGTTGCAGCAGGTGTTGCAAAAGGCTTCCCTGCTGTTTGTTTGCCGACGGGGATTTTTAATCAGACATTTTGCACGCGCTGCTTCGCAGCCAAAAGCGGTGCTTTGGACTTCTTGTGCTCCGTCTATTTTCTGCTGTTGCCAGCTCGTTTGCAAGTGCGTTGAGTTTGGCATCCTCGGGCACGCTTGCTCCCAAAAGAGATCCCACAGCAGACTGTTGAGGAAACAATTCGCTCCCAACTGGGCTCGCCATGCTACTGCGTGTGCATGTGCCGCAGGCTGTCACGCTTTGCCACAGCCATGCCACTGCGTGTGCATGTGCCGCAGGCTGTCACGCTTTGACGCCTTGCTTCGGTGATCTGTTCAGTTTTTTCCCACTGAAGTAGTGTATTGCATGCGTGTGTGGACCCTGTGTGCCAGCTCCTGCCACAGCGCTGTTGCCCATCCTGCAGCTCTCTGCGCCAGTTTTGGGTTCACAGCCGTTCTGCAGTTGCCTCACTGTTCCTGCGCTGCAGCTTCGTGCACAACCTCGGCGCCAAAACACGAGCTTGCCTTAATTCAGAAACTGTTGTCTCTTGACACTGTCACCAAGCCAAGTGGTAAGCGCTTGACCTAGTGTCTCCTTTTAAAGAGCCACGCCGCAACACAAACACTACATTTATAAATGTAGATTGCCCGAATGTGTTCGTTCCTGACTGTTTTGCATACTTCCGATGCGCAGCGCTCAATTCGGCTCAATTCCTTTTTGTTTTGGGCACGCGCGACATGGCCGAATCGGATGGTGAATCAGCCCCTCTTGACTCTCCTGAAAGATTTAATCACTTGTTGAGCAGCTGCTTGGTTCCAGAGGAAGTGCAAGACAAATTGCATGACTCGGGTATGTGAATTTGTACTTATTTGGCTTTGCAGCTGCTACGGATGCCGCTCTTGACCAATTGCTGAACGCCATTCTTGACGACGTGGATGAAAAGCTGAGACAGGTATGTCCAGCTGCTGCTGCGTTGAGAAGAGCGTGGTCCTTGGCGCGTCAATTTTGCACGCAGGCCAACTCGTTGCCGGCTGCCGGACCTTCGAGTGCGCCCGCGGCGGAGCTTGACAGCAAGCTCTCAAGCGCTGCAATCAACGAGTTCAGGGAGAAATTCCTCAAGAGTTATCCCGGAGAGTTGCTATCACCTGCTATCACCTCGATTCACCCCTGGTCCGAGATTGCTCAACATGACTCATGACATGATTAAGGCGAAGCAGCTTCGTTGGGTGCCCTGGCGTTTTCGAGTGTCTGAAGCCGATGAAGAAGCATGGTTGGCAACTCGGCCGCCAAGGTCCGATGCGTCTATGCTGAAGAGCTTGTTGGCGCACACGCGCGAGGAAGTCACAGTCTCGGTTCCTGATCAGCCCACGTCCTTAGTGTTGCCCCAGTTCCAAACTCTTTTGCAGAACTCGCTGGCAATGGTTGGAGCGGCGCACCTATCAGTTTTGAAGAAGTTCCATTCTCGGTTCTTCGAGTTGGCCACCATGCTTCCTTTGGATCCTGGCCTGCGACCGCCGACTCTGCAGGAGGTATTGTTGGCGGACCAGCAGGTCTGGCTAGCAGTGGCTACCGCGCAGAAAGACCATGGATGGGACCTCAACACGTCTCTGCATGAAATTGCATTTTGCAGAGGGGGCATGGCCACTTTTCTTCAAGCCCGCCCACGTGTCAGTAAACAATCGAATAGCCCCCTGCAGTCGAACCAGGCAAAGCGCCAGAAGCCGGCTCGCGCAGCTGCTGGCCCTGCTGCTAGCGAGCCTAATGAGTCCCAAGGCGCTGTTGCAGGATGGAATGAGAAGTGGCTCAAGAAGGTTGGCAACAAGAATGTGTGCATGCGGTTTAGTGTCGGGAAGTGCCGCAATCCCAATTGTCGATATGCCCACATTTGTGCAGTCCCTGGTTGCGGCGGTAATCACCCCGCCAAAAGGCACCAGGGGGCGCCGCACTGACTCCCAACGCACGAGCAAACGGGTGAGGGGCGTAAAGCCAGCAGTTTTGAGCATTCAGGTCGGCCGGTTCGGCTTTTCTTGGATTTGGTTGCTGGTGCTTCCTCTCCAGCGCATAAAGCAGTCAGAGAAAGGGGGGGCGACTGTTTTCTCCCAGTGGACATCATCCTTGATGACTTCTGGGATCTTCGTGATGACAATTGCAGCAATTTTTTGAATTCACTTATTGACCATGATTTGGTTGGCGCTCTTCTTGCGGCACCCTTGTGTGGTGACTACAGTATGCTCAAACTCCGACAGCCAGGTCCTATGCCTTTACGGACGCCGGCGCAACTGGATGGTGTGGACAATCTTTCCAGCGAAAAGCAACTTCAACTTCAAGAGTCTGCCTTGCTGCATGACCGAGCCAGGCATCTTTGTGAACATGTTGCCTCGCGTGGAGGCTTGGCCATACTTGAGAATCCTGTTGGTTCTATGACTTTCATGGAAGAGCCCACGCAGGAGACGCTGCAAATGTGGCTCCCGTGGCTCGCGCAAGTTGCTGCGTGCTCCGTGGGGGAAGATTGGGCTAAGCGCTGGCTTTTCGCTGCCTCGCATCCGTCCATTGTCCAAATTGCGTCGCAGTGTGAGCATGACCGCAACGCACACGTGTCCTTGCATGGAGCTCGTGATCTTGTGTCTGGACAGTTTCTCTCTAGGCTGACAGCTCGCTATCCACGTGAACTGGCCTCGCAGCTGGCAGATGTGATTCTTCCTTGGATATCCAAGCATGGCCTGCTTGTGGACAGGTGCACGTGGCAGACTTGCTTGCCCCCCACGTTGACATGGCCGCCGAGCCCAGTCAGCGTTCCTGATGGAGCGGGGCTCTTCAGCTCGGCGTGTTGGAGAGAACCTCAGCACAAGGACGTTTTTCACGATGTGCGGCAACGTCTTTTTCAGTTTTTGTGGAAGACACGTTTAGTTGTCACTGTCGCAGGTGCAGTTCGACAAGGCACTGAGGAGTGCCCCTTGTCCGACTCACACCAAGCGCAGCTGCTGCATATTGTGTGCTCTTGGGTTGCAAATCGTGGCGGCCCATCTTCCGTGCAAGAGCTGAAAGCTGTGCGTGAAGGTCAGCCTTTTCGACTTTCACTTTTGCAGGCGCTGCTAGATATCTTGGGTGACAGTGATGCTCCGTTCATGCAGGAGTTGCAAGTGGGAGTTCGTGCAGGATTGCGTTTCAAGCTGGAAATCGGCTCTGGACCATCCTGAACTTGTGGATGAACTCCTTCAAGCAGAAGTGGATGCAGGGTGCGCAGTGCCCGTGTCAGGTGGCCTGGATGCCTTGCGTGAGCAATATCAGCATACTGCAGTTGGCAAGCTGGGCATTGCTTTCTCCTCGACACGCAAGCCTCGGCTGGTCCTCGACTCTTCCGTGTCGGGTTTGACGGATGCCACTAGCATGCCTGGCAGAATCTTCTATCCCCGAATAAAGGATGTTTTGCAATGCGCGCCCATCTCACACGCAAGGGAGAGGTTTTGTGCTTTCTCCCTGGACGTTGCTCAAGCGCACAAACGCATCTTGCTGCATCCTGAAGATGGGGGTCTGCTTGCCTTTCATCATCGTGGCCAGTTGTTCAGGCACAAAACGAAACGCTGAACTTCGGGGCCAAAGCCAGCTCTTGGTATTGGTCTCGATTGGCAGCCGCCATCATGAGACTGACTCATGTTTTGGTCTATTGCCATCATTCAGGCTGGTTATTCGTCGATGATTTGTTCGGATTTCTACCGGAACAGGCTGCAGATCCATTTGTCACCTTGGTTATTTGCTGGTGGGTTACGCTCGGGATTCCTGCGAGCTGGAAGAAATGCTGTCTAGGCAGCAAAGTGCAATGGATAGGTTTTGACTTCAACATCCACACAGGGACCATTTCCTTGCCGAGACCCAAGATCAATGCAGTTTTGGAGTCACTCGTCCAAACTTGATCGGAAACTGGTGGAGCAAGTCATAGGCAGGCTTGTCTGGATTACTGAGCTGTGGGTTTTCTTGCGCCCGCTGCTTGCCGATATGTATTCCATGATGTATGCTAGTCAATCCACCAGAATCTCGTTGGACTGGGGGCAGTGGAAGAATCTGCTTCGCCACTTGGACGCTGACTTGTGTGTGCAGACTTCAATTGGGCATCACTCCATTCGTCCCGGGTGGAAGCTCAAAGGTGCAGGTTCGGTGACATTTGATTCCATTGCAGCAGCAAGTCAGTTTGCCCCACGCAAGTCGAGGTTGTGGGCATGTTTTTCCGATCCAGAGGCTCGTCAGCTTCGGGTTCCGCGCGCTGCTGCGATTGGTGCGTCATATTGGGCACACATACTCAAATCTGGCACACTATGTTTTTCCATGCTGGCAGCTCAACCGTTAAATGTGCAATGCTTTGCAGACGCACGTGCTGACAAGGAATCTGCAGGCCTGGGTGGCTATTTTCAATTTTCTGAAAGCTCACCCATGTGGTTTCAGTTCACGATTTCACGTGTCGAACTGCAGCGCCTAATCCGGAGTGAAATCAGCAGCATGCAGTCACTGATCTCAGCCTTGGAAATGCTTGCTCAGCTTGCGTTACTTTGGATGCTGTATCAGTATTTGCCAGTGTGTCGCTCTGCATGTTCAGTGATTTTTGCTTGTGATAACTCAGCTGTGGAAGCAGTGCATCACAAAGGATTAGCTCGCGCGCACTTGCTGGGTAAGGTGCTGCTCAGCATGCTGCAGCTACAGCAGAAAAGCAGAATTCAAGTTTGCATTCAACATATCCCAGGGCATCGCAATGTCCTGGCAGATGCCATCAGTCGCAATTTGGGGCACTTGATGCAAGACTTGTCGCAAAGCGGTAAAGTTTCAATTCCTTGGGAGGAGTTGCTCTCACCCTTTCGGGTGCACCGCTCTCCCTCAGAAGCGCATTGGCCACAACATCTTTTGCACTTGTAAAAGAAGCATTCGGTTGCGTTGGAGGCGCTTGACATTCTCTGACATGTCTGCACTCTGTCAGCGCCCGCCTCACTTCTGCATGAATAGTGAGTGCTTAGTTGTCACGCTGTTTCGTTGCGCAACTTTGGCAGCCTGGAGTCAGAACACATCTTTCTTGTCTTGAGCCTTTGCTTTGGAGATTTGGAATTCGGTTCATAACATGTCGTGTCTCATTACGCCAACCGTTGCATGTTCGTGAACGAGTCGCGGTCCGGGTCGAGAGGTTTTCCGCAGGGTCGCTCACGAGGGTAACTTTGGGTTCTGCACCTCTCGAGGAGGCATGCGACCTCCGCTTTGACTGGTTGCTTCCCCTTCCCTTAAGAGCTTCGCTGAACACGAACCGCTGCTCGCCGAACAAAATGGTGAACTTGCGCGTAGGGGAAGTTTACCCCTTCTTCAGACCTTAGGCTTGCATTAGGGAACATAGCTAGAGCGCAACGGAAACTTGCTTGTCAGAACAAATTTGTCTCAAGGTTCGCGCTGAAGCCTCTACAGAGAGTGAGCCGCTGGCCTTGCTGAGGGAGGCAGGAGAGTTCCAAAAGATATGTCCAAGACATCCAATTGCATTTGGGAGGGAGGGAGGCAGTGAGGGGGTGAGGCTGCGTTGCGGGTTACTTGAGGCTAAACATGGCTTAACAGAAACCAGACACAGGGGCTCAAAGCGGATTCCCATGGGTCCACACACCTTACAATTTCAAACTTTTGGATCTTTGGATCGGATCTTTGTTTGCGTTACATGTTTGCGCCCATGTCAGGGCTGCATCCTCTGTGTGGCGCGGCGCCAACGTGAGGCCTCGAGAGCTTTCGGAGCGAAGTGGAGTGCGCAAGATGTCAAAGCCTCTAATGAGTTGGCACCCTTGGTTTAAGCAGATTACGTGTGCAGATTCCAACAAGGATACCCTTCCACACACAGCGGCGTTTTTGTTGGCAGTGTGCCTATGGGAAGGATAAAGCACACGCGACTGGTTGATTTTGGGAGTGTTCCCTTTTGCGAGGGGAGTTCATCGCTTTTGGAGGAAAAGCCTGTATTAATTGGTCAGGTGTACTAATCCGGGGTCAGCATCTGGAGGTTTTGCCTCTGTCGACACAAGGCGCTTTGTTGGTTCAAGAGCAGTCTTCAAACCAGCTGTTTACAAGCGTCAATCAACGTCTTGCAAACATGTGTTTCAGGTCCAAGCAACTTGACAACTTTGGCTCTCAGAAGTGTCAAACAACATCGCTCAAACGCATCACCAAACAGTCGCTCAGAACGTTTGTGCAACGGCGTCTGGTTGACAATATGGTTGCCTTGTGAACTCTTTGTTTCTGAAGCAAATTTGGGAGGCGAGCAGCTCCATAACGCATCTGGTCGACCACCCAAGCGTGGGAAGGTTACCCAGGTCTTCTGACTGCAGCCCTGCGGCCTTGGAAGTTGTTTCGCAGGATGGAAGATCTCCAGATGGCAAATGGGTGAGACTCGGTCAACAAGCCAAGGCGTGTCGGTCAGATCGGGCAGATTCTGGACCAGCATTGATCCCCTTGTAAAACAGCAATTCGTTGAAGGCCCGTCACAGATGGATTTTGCACTCGCAACGGCCAAAAGGTCCGAGCTCACTTAGGGTTTGCCAATTGCAGAGGCTGACAGCCCAAAGACCACCTGGGTCTCGGTTTTTCGAAATAAATTGAGTGAAAGGGTACGAGGGATGGCGGACAGGAGGCTATTGCTATCCAAAGGGCCCCGAGCTCGAGAGAACTTGGAGGCCCCATGGTGACTTGTGTGATATTTGCAGCTTAGTGCATTGCCAGACTTAGTTCACGGTTGCATTTGTTTTTGTCTTCTGGGCTCTAAGTCTGGACACACACTCGTAGTTTTGATAGACGCAAAGTACATACACGCATAAACATATATTCACATATACACATGCACATATACATTCATCCATCCATACATACATGCATGCAGACATACATACATACATACAGACACACACACATGCACACACACATGCACACACACACATGTACACATTCACACATACACGCATGTACACATGCACACATACACACCAACACACGTACACACACACAAACACACGTACAAACAGAGATGCACGTATGTATGTATGTAGTGTAATGTATTGTGATGTAATGTATGTATGTAATGTAATGTAATGTAATGTAATGTAAAGGAATGTATGTATGTATGTATGTAATGTATGTAATGTAGGTAATGTATGTATGTATGTATGTAACGTAACGTAACGTAACGTAACGTACCGTAACGTAACGTAACGTATGTATGTATGTAATGTAATGTAATGTAATGTAATGTAATGTATGTATCTATGTATGTATGTATGTGTGTATGTAATGTAATGTATGTATGTACGTATGTATGTATGTATGTAATGTATGACTGTATGTATGTATGTATGTGTGTGTATGTAATGTATGTACTGTGTGTAATGTAATGTAATGTAATGTAATGTGTGTATGTAATTCATGTATGTACGTTATGTATGTATGTATGTATGTATTCATGTATGTATGTAATGTATGTAATATATGTATGTATGTATGTACGTATGCATGTATGTATGTATGTAATGTATGTAATGTATGTACTGTGTGTAATGTAATGTAATGTAATGTAATGTAATGTATGTATGTATGTAACGTAACGTAATGTAACGTAATGTGTGTATGTATGTATGTAATGTATGTATGCATGCATGTATGTATGTATGTATGTAATGTATGTATGTAATGTAATGTAATGTAATGTAATGTGTGTATGCATGTATGTATGTATGTGTGTATGAATGTAATGTATGTCTGTATGTATGTATGTATGCATGTGTATGGGCATGAAAGTATGCATGTGTGTATGGATGCATGTGTAAGTGTATGTGTGTCTGTATGAATGTATGCATGTGTGTATGGATGCACGTATGTGTGCACAAATGTGTAGTTTTGTACACGTGTGTGTATGTGTGTGTGTATGCATGCATGCATGCATGCGTACATACACGTACAGACACACACACACATTTGCAGACGCACATACCCACACACACATACATACAAACATGTTTGCGCACATGAACACAGAGGTAGAAACATACGTGCATGCATTCATAGATGCATTTACACGCACATTCCAGTACATTTCAATACATGTCATTGCATCATTGCATACTGAACATGCATGCATACATACATCACATACTTACATACACACATACATAAATGCATACATACATTCCATTGCATTAGATTAGATTAGATTACACCATATCAAATCACATCACACACATCCATACATGCATACATACACACATACATACATCTATACATACACACACACATACATACACACATACATACACAAACATTCTTACATACACACATTTGTACGTACATACACATTCATACAGACACACATATACTTACACATTTACACATACATATTTACACAGACATACATTACACTACATTACAACACATCACATCACATCACATCACATCGCATCGCATCACATCATATACATACATACATACACATTCTTACGTACACACAACACATTCTTACATACACACATTTTTCAATTTCATACACGTTTATACAGACACACATATACTTACACATACATACTTACACATACTCACATACATAGATACACACTTATTTACATACGCCCACACACAGGTGCATACACACATTGCAGTTACATACAGACATGCATATGCTTACATTTCGGATTCATACACATTCGCACACACACATATCCACATACCCCTAGGCACACACGCAGACACGCACATGCGTGTACATCCCCAAATAGCTTTCTCCCAAAAGCTTTTGTGATGCTTGGGTTTGCGTTTAGGTTGCTTAGGGAAGTGGGGAGCGAGGCTTCTCGGCTCGGAGATGTGGACGGAGCTTGAAGCTGGGGAGACGCAGCGGGCACTGAATTTGGACACCCAACACGAGGACTCACTGAAGATGATAGAATGACCATGGACATCTTTAGCATTTTGAAAGGGAGCAGACCGCGAGCCAGCCCGGAAACACAAACGCAACAAAACACTGTAAATAGCAGCGTTTTGTGGCTGGGGTCGCGCGCGAGCGCCAGAAGGCCCGAAAACCAACGGGAAAAAAGCAAGGACCGCGCAGCGCGCGAGCCAGCCACAGCAAAAGCAAAACGGACAGAGCAACAGCCCATCGCTCAGGCAGCAGTTTCTTTACGGTATTTACAGCGTTTTGTAGAGCGCGGACCCAGCGTCGCCGGGATGCCCGGCAGCGCTTGGCGCCAAAATGCGCGAAAATGAGCCTTGCTTATATCCCTCCGACACCTTCTAAAAAACAGCGCTTCATGGGTTGAGAGGCTTTTTGCAAGGAAGCCTTGATGATGCAGACCAAGCCCCACTGAAGCATCACCCAGGCCCAACCCCAAACCCTGATGATGTCAGCCACATGGCCTAAACCCTGCACACACGCGATGTTTTGCGAGGGTTTCCCACAAGCAAGCAAAACCGCAAGCCCGAGCTGGTGATGCAGAGGTGTCGGATTTAGGCAACGCATCACGACCAAGTGACGAGGGTCGGCGGCGCTCGGGTGCAGCCCCTATAGCTAAAGCTGGCGGGCTACTTGCTTAGCGGCGACATGCTACCCCAGCAGGCGTCGCCGGATTTAAGGGCTGCCGCCCTGTGCCGCCGACCCCCGGAGAAGACTGTGTTGTCAAACGGGTCATCCAAGTAAGTACACGTTTTTCTTAAAACGTTGCGGAGGCGCTTTTGGTTTACCACGCTTTTGTGAAAAGTGGCAGCGCCCCATGTTTGGGAAGCGCCTTTCGGTTTAAGAGACGTGCTTCTTTGTTGAAGCTGTGACCGCACCCATTCGGGTTAAGGCACGTTGTGGTTTTCTCAAATGTGTGGTAGTACCCATTACGACGGTGCTAGGCTTGAAACGTGGCAGCACTCAAGGCTTGGGAAGCGCCTTTCGGTTCAACACACGTGTTTCTGTGTAACCTCACGTAACATAGCATTACATACCTACATGCGCAATCGCTGACATCACATGCATACATACATATTTACATACATACATGCGTAAGTACATACATATATATATATATATATAATATATATATATATATATACATACGTACATAGATACGTAAATACATACAGACATACAAAAAATACAGCGCATGACATGACATGGCGTTGCATTACACTATGTTGCGTTATGTTACATACATACACACATACATACATACATATGTACACACATACATACACACAGACAGACAGACAGACAGACAGACAGACATACTTACATACATACATACATACACATATATCTACACATATACATTTACATATACATACACATATGCATATACACATACATACACACACATATACATACATACATACATACGCACATACACTACATACAAACGTTTTATCAACACGTGGCAGTAGCCATTTCGTTGTTGTTCTGTTTTTGAAGCGTGGCAGCACCCATGCTCTGGGAAGCGCCTTTCGGTGTAACACACGTTAGTATTTTTCAAGACGTGGTAGTAGCAATTGTTTTCGACACGTGGCAGCACCCTCCTTTTGGGAATGCAGCGCCCATTTTGACACACGTTTGACATAACATAACATAACAGCACATAGCGACATGCGCAATATTTGTGTTCATAACGCACATACACACATACACACACAACATACATACACACATGCATACATACATACATACATACACTACATACAAACTTTTTCAATTCGTGGCAGTAGCCATTGCGTTGCCGTTCTTCTCTTGAAACGTGGCAGCACCCATGTTTTGGGTAGCGCCTTTCGGTCCAACACATGTTTTTCTTTTTCAATACGTGGCAGTAGCAATTGTGTTGTCTTTCTTCGAAACGTGGCATTTTGAACGTGGCAGCACCCATTTTTTGGGAAGTGCCTTTCGGTTTAACACACGTTACTGTTTTTCAAGACGTGGTAGTAGCAAGTCTGGTGTTGGTTTTTTGGAAAGCGCCCATCTTTTGGGAAGCGCCTTTCGGCTTAAAATACGTGTTTTCTTTTCGAGACGTGGCAGCACTCATTTTTCGGGAAGCGCCTTTCGGTTTAACTCATGGGAGTGTTTCTTCAATACGCGGTAGTAGCAATTGTGTTTTTCCAGACGTGGCAGCACCCATTTTTGGGAAGCGCCTGTCGGTTTAACACAGGTTACTGTTTTTTCAGTATGTGGTAATAGTATTTGTGTTGATAACACACATACATACATACATACATATATAAAGATATACATACATACATGCAGACGTCATACACACATACAGACAGACATACATAGTTACATATGTAACATACCAAAAGACAACATTACATAGGTACATGCGCAATTACTTACATTAATTTCATACATAAACACACACATACATACATACATACATACATACACACATACATATGTAAGTACA